CAGCTTTCTTCCTAAGCACACCACTAGATCTATCAGTTACAGCCACCTACTTTATAACCAGATCTGCTCTGACCCCACCAACCAGGATGACTACCTTAAGGATCTAGAGCAGGGTTTCCTACAATTACAATACAATCCCAAAACTGTAACTAGTCACTCAGCTCAACAAGGCCAGATTCAGACCTGCTACAATACCAACCTAAATAGAACAACAGAATCCCTCCAGTTGTCATCTACAGTCCCCAGCTTGAACACCTAGTCTAAGTACAGACAGTCAAAGGCTAGGGATTACACATAAGATGGTTTAAGTGATTAGAAACTGGTTTAAACCTGTAACAGAAAAGATGTTCAATGAACATAAACCAGTTTGAAAATGGCTGAAACCGGTCTTAGATGAACCTGGTTAAATGTAGTATCAGCATTAACTGATTTGGGTCAAACCAATTTATGCAGTGTCTGTCCCAGACACCTTTCTGGTTTAACTTAAACCAGAGTCCCCCAGCATCCCAGATGCTTTGCAGCTCTGGGTGGGGCTCTCTACTCCAGAGAACTGGGCTGGCCCCTCCTCTCTGCTCCCTTGCTGGAACTCTGGCAGAGATGGCAGGCACAGCAGCATCTGCCTGGCTTCCCTGCTTGCCCACCTGACTCAAGCAGGGATCCCCTGCTCCCCTCTCGCACAGCAGGGACAATAGCCAGCATGTGGTCTGCTAGCTAATACTGAAAGAGCATAAGGCAGACAGGACAGCGTCTGCTTAGGGCTTTTTGGAGTTAATCAACAACTCAGCTGGTAACATCCCTCGTTCCTTCCTTGGAAAAAGTTAAGAGCTTTAACTAATGACAGAGACTTTTGTTTTCTTAATGGGCTGATAAACACTGTGTTATCAACTCCCTGCTGGGCTGGATGGGAGCACTCCCTAATCAGAGTGTCCTGGCAGGGCCTCCCCACGCTCCCCCTCAGTTCAGCACTGAAGGGAGGGCTGCACGGAAAGGAGGGCTGCTCTAGTGCCCCCTAGCTTCTAGCCTGAGCCACTTGCAGGCATATGCCTGTATTTCGTCAGTCCAGAGGGGATGTCTGTGCTATTACAAACTGGTTCAGCCTAGCCAGGTTAGACTAGCCTGCAAAGAGTGAATCAATTCAGGCTCAGGCTTTTTGAATGTCTGTCTGTAACCAAAAATCCCAAGGCTGAATCAATTCAGTCTTTGCAGGTTAGTCTAAGTTACAAAGATTAAACTGAGAGACAGCTGGACAGACATTCATTTTTGATTCAGGAAATGCAGCCACATACCTACAGTGGCTCAGGCCAGAAGCCAAGGGGCACTAGAGCACGGCTCTCTGGCATGTAGCCAGCATGGACTTTGTGTTCGCTTCTTCCTTTTGCTGTCCCTGAGGTCTCTGGGATTTGCAGTCCAGAATTACAGCAGAAGGACTCTGCAAGGTTGCTCATCACTTTCTCTTTCTGCTTTCAGGTGCCTCTGGGATTTGTAGTCCACAGTCACAGCCAGCAATAAGTTTTTAGCAGGGCAGGGCAGCTCTGTACTCAAGGGAAGGAAAGTTTAACCCCCCCCCTCCCTGACCCCAGACCTCATTGGGGTTCACTGGAGGGGGGGCAGGGGGCAATCCCCATCTCCCCCCTACCCAAACTTTCTCTGCTGGAAGAGACAGCACAAACCAGCCCAGGGCTAGAAAGTGTGCTGGGATGCTGGGGGACTGCAATTTTACTTGGACCAGGAAGGGGTCTGGAACAGAAGCTTCATAAACCAGTTTGACCCAAATCAGTTAAGTCCGATACTACATTCAATCAGGTTTATTTTGAATTAGTTTCAGTCATTTTCAAACTGGTTTATGTGTACTGAACTTCTGTTGTTACAGGTTTAAACCAGTTTCTGATCACTTAAACCAGTTTATGTCCAATTTCTCTCCCTAGTCCTAATGACTATTGTTTCATCCTGGAAAAGGAAGACAGTTTTGTCCTCAAAGGCTGCCTTGAAACTGTCTTGTTTTACAGATAGTGCCCCCCTCCCCCAATGTCAAATGGCATCCCTTAAACAACAGACTAATGAATTCCCATTCTCACCAAGGCACCAGGCCTTGTAATGGATCCAAATGCCTACTGTGTCCCCACAGCAAGACCACATCATTACCAGACCTAATAATAAGGAATAGAGCATCTGAGGTTCTTTCACCTGCAATTCTATCAACGTCACATATGCCATCACTGCTTACAGTGCTCTTCTTCAGCCACACAAGGTGATATCTGTGTGTAAGAATGAATGAATGCTGATCTGGAATCAGCTGCAGAAAGACTCAAAAGCTTGTGGCAGAACACTTCAACCCTCTGGACACTCCATTCCTGACCTCAGGATTGCTGTACCTCAGGCAAAAATGTAAAAACCAGTTTGAACAGGAAACTGCAGAAAAATAAGTCATCCACAAACTGGACTGTGTTAAGTATGGTTTAAACAGGGACTATAGATTCTTCTCTCATTACCTGGATTATTTTTTGTGACCGTTGTCCCTCGGGGTTTATTTCACATTTGTTTTCCTTTCCTAGTATTGCCATCCACACCCCTCATCTCTCCTTCTCTCTCTCCTCACTTGTATTTTGTATTCTAATCTCTCTCCTTATACTCTGCATTCTACATGTCCTTTCAGACCATTTAATGAAATGAACTTTGGTTCAGAAAAAGCTTGAAAACTTGTGCTCTCTCTCTCTCTCTCAGAGGTTCCCAAACTTTCTTATTATGTACACCCTTCCAGATTTACCAGCTGCCCCCATACTCATACCACCATGTTTTATATTTTAACCCCTTAAATGCCAATAATTATAATGAAAATTAAATCCTCCATCACACAGTTTCTCTTGTGTACCGCCTCCCCCATCCCTCCCCCCCAGATATCTTGCATACCCCCCCACAGGTACACATACCACAGTTTGGGAACCCCTGCTCTATCTTAGTTTATAAATGTGCCCATCTACCCTGCCTTTAGACTAACACAGCTAAGTACCCCTCTCTGCCGTGGGATAGAGATACCCAGGTGCAAAACATGTTTTTACTTTAATCTGCCACAGAGAAGAAAATTGCACAGTATTCAACTTAACACTTGCCAGGAATGTTACAAGCCAGGATCTTCCCGTTTAGTTTTTCTTTTGTACGAAAAACAACAGAAGATCAAAGTCCCTTAGTAAACAAAACTAAAGTACAGCAATCAAGTCTCAGAAAACTTCCAAATACAACAGAGTATACCTGGGTGGTCTGTGCAGGAAAGTGGAAAGGCAGCAACATTCATCTAGTGAGAAAAATTTGCTCTATTTTCCACTTCTTAAAGCCAAAATTAAAGCAGCAATGTTTTAAACAAATGCATTATTTAGAAAACTGAAGCCTGGTCACTTGCCAAGATCCCAGCAAGCTGAAACTGAAACCACAGCCCTCAGTGATTGTTAACATGCAGCAAAATCCTTCCACCCAGCACATAAGGGAGACAAATTCTCTCTATACAGGGAGATCAGTCACTCCCTAGGAGCGAGTTTCTCCATGCCTCTCTCAAAATGTGATATACCCGCTCTAATGTACCACATGCCCTCATGGCAACAACGTGGATGAAACTGAACAGCCAACTATGCACCAGAACTAACCCTCACAGAAAATATAGAGGAAAGAGACATACACACACCATTAGGAGCATATTTCTCACATAGCCACTCCCTCTCTAACCTCACTACCTTCCTGCTCAAGGGAAATCTACCTACTGCCTTTCAAAGGAAATCTTGGGAATAAAAAGGCATGTCAGCTGAACACCAAGCAGCAAGGACTAAACAGTGATATCAGGTTTACAGCACATTATATTTTATCCAATTCCTGACTTCTCCCCATACACAAAAAGGAAGAACCACCCTCCTCCTTTTACATAGGCCTTGATTTCCCAACAATCAGCTGCTTTTCTTCTGCTAATTTTTTTTTGCATTTGTTTCAGAATTTTTTTCTTATTCCACGTCGAATAAGTCAAATCAGTTCCAAATATTGGCGACTGAGCAAAACTCAATTGTTGAAACACCATATGTTGTGCTACAACTTGCAAGTATCCTCCACCCCAGACTTTTCAACCTAGGGTAGGGGCTGACAACCCCCCAGCCCATGTGCAGAGCATGGCACACGAGGCCATTTTGCTCTGCACCCCATGGCCAAGCCCGGCTCTGGGTAGCTGCTGGAGTCGGCTGCTCCCAGCAGGGCTTGCAGTATCCCAGCTGCCTGCTGGGAACAGCTTGGGCTCTGTGGCTGGCAGCAGCTACCCAGAGCTGGGGTCAGCTGCAGCCGGGAGGCTCCAAACAGCTGCGCCCAGCTCCGGAGTCCCGGCATCAGCTCTGTACTGGCGCGTACACCCACGCACGGGAGCGGGCAGTGGGGGAGTGGCCGAGGCAGCCCCAGTCTCTCACCTGCTCCCGGGGCAGAGCTGGTGGGGTCAGCTGCCCAGGAGTCTCCCTTGCCCTTAGCCAACAGCCGCAGGAGCAAACTACTGAGGAACGCAGCATTTGCATAAACTAGGCATGTAACCAAAATCCTCCCACTGGAAGCTGGCCACTGAGAAGCTAATGACAAGACTGGTAGGGGGTCTTCTCCACAGTGCATTGCACAGGGGTGCGCCCTCTACTACACGACGCCATTCAAACTTATCTCTGCCTGGACAATAGACCGTGATCTTCCCTCAGCCCGCCTGGCTCCCTGACCAGCCCAAGCCTGCCCCGAGCGCGAAAGCTTGTCTAGCTCCACACCTCCCCAGTTAAACATCCCAAGTTAAGAAACCCCTGCCTCATACAGACGGAAGCGCACTGTCCAGGACCTCTCAACTGGAAACTTCTCATTACCCCACTCCCTTCAACTCCTCTATTATGAGGCACAGCACCCCACCCCTTCCCAGCAGCCTCCGCTCTGCCGCGAGGGGTTCTGGGAGTTGTAGTTGGAAGCTGTGCGGACGCCGGCGCCAGAGGCGCGGGGCGGGGAGAGGTGGCGCCATCTTGAGAGCGGGGCGGCTTGGGGCCTCCCCTCCCCGGTGCCGGGAGCGCGCGGGGCCCGGGTGGCGGCGGCGCCGGTGACGGCTGGTGTTTGTGCCCTGAGGTTGGTTCCACTCCGCGGCCTCTGACCTCCGAGAGGGATGCTTTGTCCTGCAGGGACCGGGGCTCCGCCCAGCCCATCTGAGGTGCCGGTGGGGAGGGGGACCGAGCCACAGCCCCCGCCTGCTGTGGACTCGTTGCTGCCCCTGTCAGGCCTCGGGGCTGCCTGGGGCCCGTGAGCGGGCTGCGATGCCCCCAGACAGCGGCCTCCTCCCCTGGGAGTGGGGATGAAATTCCCTTGTTTGGGCTAGGCGCCGGGCGGCGCTTCGGAGAGACCCCGGGGCTGGCAGGGGCCCGGCTAGTGCAGGCCCCGCGTGAGGCCGGAGCAGCCCCGACCAAACCTTCCCCTAGTCTAGGCCCTCTGTAAAAATGTGGGCGAGCCATGTGCCACCTAAGACAACACCCGAACCTGCTGCAGGTAAAGCAGGGGGACCACAGTAGCCGCCGTCCTGTTTTTATGAAGTTTGCTAATGTGCCTCAAGAGATCCCAGGCAGGGGCCATGGCCCCTGTGACAGATGAAGGCAAAGCCCCCTGAAATCTGTACCAGTCTGACTGGCATCAAATTCCTTCCTGGCCCCAGTGCAGGGATTGGTGTGACACTGAGTGGAGGAGCAAGAGCCTCTAGATAGGAGCCTCTTTCAGCTTCAAGTTCTAGCAGGAGCATTGGCACAGCCCAGTCAACATCTCCAGCCTTGGCTGCAGCCAACACCCAGTGCCTCTGAGGAAGGCTTAAAAAAAAAAGCCAGCCCTCTTACTCCCATCCCACAACTGTCAGTGTGTTTACCAGGCCATTTGTCTGGAGAAGAGCATGCATGTTACTTAACCGTCCCATTAAGGGCTTATTCGGAGAGATTTCTAAAATGTACTTCTTAGGGTATCTGGTAGGAATATACATTTTGATTTTTTTTATCCTATAATTTAGAGTTCTTAAAGTGTTCACATTAAGCAGCCCTGTTTCAGGTGGCATGAGTCCTCCTCATGTAGAATGTGATAGAGTGAAAAGCCGCCTTAGAAAGTAATTAAAAGTTTTTTCTATTTTTGAATGAACCACACCATAGGGTCAGCACACCATAGTTGCGCTCTGTACAATGTAATAGACTCTGCCTTAGATCTGTAGGTGTTTAGTGCTGCCAGTATTGACCTTCTACTGGTTTTATTGTAAAAGGATAAAACTCCACCTGAAGCTTGGTTTGCTTTTGTGCTTACTTTTTTCAGTATGTTTATTCCAAGTCTAGTAAAATAGATTCCAAAGTGTTTACGTGAAGATACCACCTCTCGTTTCTTTTTCTGTAAAAACTAAACTAGGTTCCTCCTTTCATTTCTAAAAACCAGTCCCTTGGATTTAGAAGTGTTGATTTCCAAGCTATTTAAGATACAATATTGCGTGAAAATATCTGTGGTGCTACACACTCCTGTGCCGGTGTTCCCAGCATCTCTGCTCTGCTAAATGCCCACCCACTGCTGCTCTCCATGCCTCCCTCCTGTTTGGGGCACCTCTTGCTATTGTTCCCCAGGCCCTTGGTACTGCACCAAGCACCCAGGAACCTGGACTCACCCTTAGTTCCCCAGCTGCAAGCTTCTGCAAGCTACCACACAATTCAGGCAGCCCAGACTACAGGCTTCCTTGGCACTGAAAGCTGAGCCATGCTGTTTTCCATTTCTTGGGATGGGGGCAGGGGCAAGGGCAGGGAGGGGAAACCATTGGCTGGGGCGGGGTTGTAATATGGAGCCCCTGGTAGCTGCTGCAATTGTAGCACTGGGGGGAATGCTGGTTGGGTGGGAGCCCAGGGTCTGCAGTTTAACTACTCACCGGCTATATGCAGCTTGCAAGCTGACAGTTAGACAGCCCTATGGTAACTTAATACTCACATAACTGGTTGACACTGAGGATTGATAGTAGCATGATTTGGAGATGCTTATGTGCCAAGACACGGTGTCTTATTGCTTCCTTTTGCTCCCTCTGTGTGCCCGTCTGTTTTCTTGGTTTCTAAGCTCTTTGGGGCTTCCAGAGCCATGGTATTTAATGCTGCTGCTGCTCCTCTGCCAGTAAATTTGACATAGCCCCATTTGCCATGTTATGGGGTCATTCCATGACTGGATCTGGTGCGTGGGGTTGCATTGCAGCTGGATCTGGTACATGGGGCTGGGCCAGCATGTTGGATCACACGGTCTGACACCATGCATTGACCCCATTCTGGATCTTGCTTCTTGACCAGCCTTGCCCATGGGATCCAGCCTATGGATTAGTCTTAGTCACTATGGAAGTTAGAGCACCACTGAGTCTCAGCAGTTCCCTCCACATGCAAGTGTTCCCACTATGACTCTAAGTGTTAGTTCAATTGTAAGTCTTAACCAAAATCTCCAGTAAATTGAACGTGGAAACTTGACTATGCAATTGTTAGGACTGATCCCTATAGAAGAAAATCGGACAGATTGTTGTTATTAAGATTGCACTGCTGATGTCTACAATGAACCTGTTCTGTGGATAACTTAAAAACTCCAGTTTTCAGAATTACTGGTTTATTCTTCAAAACTAAATTCACTGTTAAAAATAGCTTACCACAGACAGTTAATTGCTAGTACCAAAAAACTCTACAGTAATATATTTTTATTACAACTGTACTGAAAAAGGTGATTTAATTTAAGCTTAACCTTAATTTCCTTATTTGGGGAGTTTTCTTAGATATGGTTCTGTTTCTGCATGTTATTGTGTAAAGATTTACATACTGTTAATATTTATGTTTTTCTTTCTTTAAGATGCTTCATGCTGAATGTAAAGTAAGACCCTTGGAGTGTCAGGATGAAATGACAATTGAACCACATTCTAAAAAAATGAAATCAAAGGAAGAGATTTATGCTAAGCTTTGTGATGATGATTTCCAAGGATCTCATGAGAAAACAGGAACTCGGAGAACATCCAATGATTTGATACCTTCATCCGTCTCTGATAACCAATACAAACATGAAGCACAAAAGCAGGAGAATGAAACTACAGTTGATTTAGAGCTATCAAATGAAGTAACCCTTTATAATAAACCTGTGCTTATAAAATCTTCTGATTCAGAGAACATCCAGAACACAAGTCCTTCATTTGTATCAAAAAATGATGCTGAGATAACAAAAAATAATTGTACTTCTAAAACTGATTATCTTGATGAATCTAGTGTGAAGGAAGAAAGCAATAAATCATTTGAAGTAAGTGATGGTGAGGTGGCAGTTGAGGAATTTAGTACAAGCAAAGCATTTATTGGACCCGTTTACAAAACTGAGAACAAGCAGGATAAAACCAAGGATTGTGCTGAACTTAGCACAGGTGGAGGGGAGCAAAACGCATTACTTGGCAGAAGAACTGAGGAAGAAAGGGTAAAGAAAACAAAGGCCATCTCCTGTGATAAACAAGAAATAGATGATGAATTATACCGATTTTATGAAGAAATTCAGCAGATTGAAACTGATAAAGATAATTTAGAAGATAACTTAGAAGAAAAAGAAAGCCAGCCTTCTCAGGAGCACTATACAGAAGAACATAATTACAAGCAGGCATCTTGTGGTCAAGGTATCTGGTACACTAGCACACAATCACATTATGGTAACGAGCAGTGTTTCAGTAATGAACAAAGTAGCCAGAGAACAGGCAATGAACAGTGTCTTGAAAATGAAACAAGTAGCCGGAGAATAGACAATGAGCAACATTTTGGCAATCAAACAAGTGGCTGGAGAGCTGAGAATCCTTCTAATGGACAAAAGGATTACCCTGAACCAGAAAAGGTTTCTAACTTCTGGAACTTTTCAGTGCCTCAGTTCAGGCCTGCATGGCAGTCAACACAATCTTTCATAGTACCTCAGGGTCCTCTTCCTCCTAGATTCAGCCATCATTTACATTTTCAAACAATTAGGCAGTCACCACATCAACCAAATACTTTTCATCCTCATGATGTTCAACCTTCTCATAAGAAGTTTCCTGATTACCATGGAAATAATAGTCATGCTAACTGGAACCGTCCTTTGTCTGATCAGAATTGCAGCTATGTTGGTAATATTGATATCCATAATATTCAGGTCTCCAGGAATGGATATAGTGACAAGGATATACCTGTGAATGATTGTTTGAGTGAAACTAGAGAAGATTGTTGGAAGGATACTACAATTTACCAAACCAAAGGAGAACACAGTTTTTCTTTCCAGCAGTTTCCAGAGGAAAAATTATGTGGGTCTCAAAAATTACTCCTAATTTTAAGAGGCCTTCCTGGTTCAGGGAAAACTACAGTATCTCGGTAAGTAAATCTTAAAATTTATGTTAAAAACTAAGGGCCAGGTAAGCCTCCAGTGTTCAGGGTTCTGAACTGGTGAACACTCACAAATGAGTAATGTCCTTGAAGTCAGTGGGACTGCCTAAGCATACATTATTTTTGCAGGATTGAGGCCCTAATTAGGAAGAGGTGTATTGGTAAATATTAGAAATATCAATAACTCTTCTTTTAGCTTTGTTTTCTTTTTCAGTTAGAATGTTGATGATCAGGGGGCTATTTTATTATTTGTTCTAGGCAAATATTTTTTTTTCCTTCCAGCGATTCACCTATGCTTATTCCTGAAAATCCCAACAGCACTAGTAGGAAGATCAGCCACATTCTTCCTTTTCAGATTCCTTCCTTAAAATGTCTTCTGGTAAAGTTGCCAGTATAAACTTGTGAAAGATAGAAATGCCATTATATTTCCAAGAAAATCTTAATGGGACACAATCAGCCTGAAAATCTTTCTATTCTGAACTTCAGATGTTTCTGTTATTGCAACTAAACAAGGTAACAGGAACTGAAGAAACTGGAGAGAAAAACTTGCACAAGGCCTCTCATTCAGTGCACAGAACAGACAGGGGTGCACAGATAGAGATTTTGGGGGGCGATGCCAATAGCCAATATTTAAGGAGGCATATTGGCCAATACTGATCCGATATGTGATACAGCTGCCATCAGATGGTAAGGACCAGAGTGATGGAAGGGGTGAGGGGGTGGTAGATCAACGCCCCCACAGTGAGGGAGGGGCTAGGGCAGGTGCTGCTCAGCCAGGTGGAGGGACACGCAGGACAGAGGTGCAGCTTATGGGGTGGAGGAAGTTCCTGTTGCTGCTGCTTGCATCCCGGGAGGGCGGGGGCGTGTGTGCCCCCAAATCATGCATGGCGTGGGCTGCAGCTGTGGGGTGGAGCCGGAGCCAGTACTGTGCGGAGCTTTATTTGCTGGGGGCTGGGCTCAAAGCGGGCTCCAGCGCTGTTGGGAGGAGGCTGCAGCTACCCCAGATTTTGCCATAGCTCCTCTCCCAGTCCCACACCACTGCCTGGTGCAGCCCTAGCTGAATGCCCCACCTCCACCCAAGTGCCGGGAAAGGTCAGGGCTGTGCTGGCGGTGGCGCAGGGCTGGAAGCAGAGCTGCGGCAAAATTTGGGGTGGCTGCAGCCTTCTCCCAGCACCACCGGAGCCTGCTCCAAGCCCAGCCCCTGGCAAGAAAAGCCCTTTACAGCACTGGCTCTGGTTCCACACTGCAGCTGCAGTCCGCATTGTGCAGATCCAGGGGCGCACACTGCCCCCTCCTCCTGCCCTGGCTGGGCAGTGCCTACCCCTGACCCCTCCTTCACCACAGTGGGCATCGATCTGCCCCCCATGCCCTTTCCCTCCCCACCCCCTCCCATTCTGACTTACCAGCTGGAGGCAGCTCTCCATTCTACCAGCTCTGCTCTGTGTTGCACTGTGGCTGCCCACAGCACGGCATTTATTGGCCAAATTATCAGCCCCATGGGGCCAATATCCGTTATAGACAATTTTCTTTATATTTGTACCGATCCACTATTGGACCGATGTATCAGTGCACCTCTACAGACAAGGGTCACTTAAGTATCCAAAATCTTGTTTTCTTGACTTACTTACAGTATTCAAGATGTGAGCACGTTATGGGTGTGTATAATGGCGTGATAAGGTTCTCTGCTTTGTTTTCAATTCCCTTCTTAGTGATGCCCAACATTTTGTTGGTGTTTTGCTTGCTGCTGCACCTTGTGACCTGATGTTCTTAGTGAGATACCTACAGTGACTCCAAGGTCTCTTTCCTGAATTGTAACAGCTAGTTCAGAATTTAGCATCCTGTATGTATAATTGAGTTGGGGTTATTACTTCCTAGGTTCATTACCATGGATTCTGGATTTTTCAGTTTAAACATCCCAAATTCTCTGATTAGAAGGGCGGGGTACCCTAAATTTTCTTATTAGAGAGCCCAAAATCCATGTTTTTCTGTCATTAAAGTGAAATGCTACTATATATTTAGGTGTGAGTTGAATACAATGTTTATTAATATATTTACAATTTTAAAGCAATTTGGAAGATTACCAGTGCCTCAGTTATAATAATAAGATAAATTCTAAATACCTGTAAATGTTGGCATTTGGTTTTGGTTTTTTTATCATGGAAAATCAGAGCTCCTCTGCCCATTTTGCTCACCAGAACAGAGGTCCCACTGCTTTGTGATGGTGAGCAGACCGGATAGGCCGGTATCCTGTGCCTGCTGTTGCCCCTCACTTTCCAAGTCACAGCCCCTTGGTCCTGCCAGTACCTCTCACTCCTGGCCTGTGTCCCCCTGGCCCTGCCAGTGCCCCTCACTCCCGGCCCACTGCCCCCTGCACCTCCAGTGTATGAGGAAGAGGGATGAGTGTGTGGAGAAGGTTGGGGGGACGGTGTGAACACAGGCGATGCGTGGAGGGGGTGAGGGGGCAAAGGCAATGCATCAGGGAAGGGGCATGTGACCTTCTGATTTCTGCACTCTCAGCAGGGCATGGGGCTGCAGGTAGGCCAGACCAGCTCTGGGCAGGACCCGGCATGGGAGGGATCATGGTGCCACCATGGCCACCAGAGTAAGGCATGGTGCCATGTAGTTGTGCCCCCCACTGCTGCCAGGTGGGCAGGGGGTGCCTCATGTTGGCAGCCATAACTATGCAGCCCGCCCTCCTGCTCTAGATCCTGCCCACTGGGCCCCCAAGGTGGCTCCTGCCCGGAGCTGGTCAGGCCTGGCTACAGCCCCACATCCTACTTTGGGAACAGAAATCTGGGGCGGGAGGGGATGTTCCCCCCCACCATGTTGCCTGTGCTCCCCCACAAGCTTGCCATGTCTCTTGTGCGCCCCGCCACCTTCCCATAGAGTTACCCGGAGGGAGCTGCGGGAGCTGCTCATCACCACCCAGCCTGACTGCGATATGCACATGATGCCTCCTGTTTCCTGTCTCTCCCCTCCCCCCAGCCCCAAGCAGCACTTTGCAGGCTGGAACTCTGCCAGCCTGCAGTGGGAAACCCACTGTTTCATGTGTTTTTTCTCTGTGAGAAGAGAAAAATCTGTGTTTTTCCGCAGCAAATGGAAAGAATGGATCTCTGGTTATGACTCCAAAGCATGAGTTTACACAGATGTGAAGTGTGTAAAGCCACCTCACGTTGACCCAGCTGGGATTGGGTAGCTGTTTTTCTGGGCTGCAGAGTCAAAAGCAGCCAGATATGATGCTTTCTGCGACTTTCCCTTGCAGTTGATGTACCATGGGTCTCTGGTGCCTCCCCCCTATCCGCAGCCAATCACCGTGGGTGAGGGTGGTCCCCCAGCGGGCAGTTGCCAAGCCCAAAAACACCAGCAGCACTTCTGGTTTCACCGGAACTGCTGTTGGGGGACCAATTGCCCCCTGGAGAACCTGGCTGGTGCCCTTCCCTGCCCCTCACCTCTCTGCCCCTAGCCAGTGCCCAGGGGCATGGCCCCCCTTAGCCCTCCCTGTCGGTATGCTACTGCTCCCTTGTGTGCCATTGGCTATAGACTTGGGCACTGCTTTACCCATGCAAACCCACTGGACCACCTACACCTGGGTGAACCTTTCAGCTTTTTTGACCACATTGTATGTTGGTGAATACAGGTTTCCCTCGATTTAGCAGTAGATGCATTCCCAGGGAATGGCGCACAAAGCAAATTTGCATAAAACGAACCCAGTTTACAATGAAACAGATAAAGATGTCTTCCCAGGGCAGTGAGGGAGGGAAGGAGTGAAGCTGGGGCTAGGGGAGCAGTGGGGAGAGGGGCACAGCACAGCCCAGTGGCTGCAAGCAGGCAGCATCTCCCGTTCCTGGGGCTGCGGCAGGGGTAGCACTGGGCTCTTCATGGCTCTTGGGGCGGGTGGAAGCCCCACTCAACCCACCCCGAGCGCCAGGAGTAGCCTGCTGCAGCCGCTGTAGCCTACAGTGGCTGCCGTCCCCAGCCTGCTCTCGTCCCACTGCAGCCGGCTGCCCACCTCTGTTACAGCCCTGGGGAGTGACAGATGCCACCTGCTTGCAGCTGGTGGGCTGCACCATGCCCCAAATTCCCTGGGGCTCCACTTCCCCTGGGGTACCATGCCCCGAACTCCCCAGCATGGCGGAGCCCAGTGTCTGCAAGCAGCCAGCGTCCGCCACTCCCAGGGCTGCAGCAGGGGCTGGCAGCTGCAGGCTCAGGGACAGTGGCTGTGGCAGACTTGGGCTGGTGGCTGCACCAGGCTCTTCCTGGCACTTGGGGTGGGGTGAGTGGGGCTGCCAAGTCTGCAGCGGCCACTGGCCCCAGCCTGCTCTCATCCAGCTGCAGGTGGCTGCCCGCCCATGCTGCAGCCATGGGAGTGGTGGATACTGCCATCTTGCAGCCTCTGGGCTGCACCATGCTGGGGGGTTTGGGGCACAGTGTCCCAGGGGAAGTGGAGCCCCAGGGGGTTTGGGGCACAGCACAGAGGCTACAAGCCGTTTGCATCGGGCACTCGCAGAGCAGCTGCAGGAAGGGTGAGCAGCCACCTGTAGCCGGACGAGAGTAGGCTGGGGCTGGCAGCCGCTGCAGACTTGGGCCAGCGGCAGTACCAGGCTCTTCAGGAGTAGGTGAATGGGGTCCAGCCCCACAGCCCTTTCCCCTCCCTTCACTCCTCCCTATCACTCACAAACTCAGACTTACCTGCTTGGGGGAGGGCAGAGCGCACCTATGCCAATCACATAAGATCGGCTTATGCCAATCGCATACTGTATATGCAAATTTACCTTGCATGTAATGAATTTCAGATACAAAAGGGTAATCACATAAGAGTGAATTCGCATAAATCAAACCTGCATAAATCGAGGGAAACCTGTAGTCCCTCTTTGTTTATTGAATCCATGTGAAGTCTTGCAGGTAATAGCAAATTTTCTATCAAGTTAATGAAATGCACTAGATTAAGAACGACTTGCTTAGGAAGAATAGTTGTAGCTACTTTCAAC